TACGACTGACACCATTCTACACAAAGTTTTACACAAGTGCTGGTGGAGGGAGTCTTTGGTGTGAGACAATGCTAAACTTGCGATTGTTCCAGGAAAAGTGAGAGGAAGGCGGGACGCTTCAGCCTCAAGACATGAAATCTACTGGTTAAGAGCCATCGCAGCATGTAACTTTAACACACAGCAGTAATTACCACTATAAAATGCACTGGGTTGAGCTAATTAGACCTGACCTGAATTAGACCTGTGGAATATAATCACTATTCCTGCTGTTCTTATTATCTAAACTACTCAGCTAATGTAATCCGCAGCCTGTAATTCAGAGTGTATATATAAAAGTATACAAAACCTGATTTTCATGTTGAATAATCCTTTTAATTCTGAATGCTGGGCTATAAATTTACATATGCATGGGAAGGCTTTGAGAATTTGTAAAGGAGTTGCTTATACTTAAGTGAGCTGCTGCATACAGACTGAAATGAATATAATGAGAGAATTGTCAATTATTTTGCTAACAATTCAATTATTCATCCGAAATCACGACATGTGTTCTAACACGGGGAAATGCGAAACTGAGGTCAACGGAAAACAATGTTAGTGCTGCAACCAAAGAAGAGCTAACCAGAAAAAACTGAGGGGGTGCCAGAAGAACCACTACACCTAACGACACGCCGACTCCAACGAGGAAGAGGAGCCTAAAGTGTTAGCTACTTTAACTTGGCAACTAAGAAAGAGTGAAGTGAGCTGTTATTCTACTGAATAGTTTGATAATAAAAAGTTTAGCAGACATTTGGTTTTCTGGGTTTCCATTTTGCACTTTATGAAATCAAATCTCCATGTGCGGCCGTTTGTGATGAGTGTGCTCTTTAATTAAGATGATTAGTTCGACCTGGGTAAATGGGCAAAAGACTAAGCAAATTTCAATTGATTAATTTACTAAAACATGGAAAAAGAGACAACAATGGAATTTTTATCAAACTTTACAATTCTAATTTTGTGAACGTCTGTAGTTTCAGAGAAGTGTGCCAGTTATGCCATTTCAGTGCTTGTTCGCAATCTGGACAGTGCTACTAAAATTATGTTATATGTTTACTTGAAATACACTTATTTTATTTTATCTAAATATAAACCTTGTCAAAAATGCTGATGTTGACACTGTGCTTGGCTGAAAAAATATTTGTGCGCTCACATTCAGATTACCTGCAGCAGCTAATACAACACAGAAGGTTGTCAGTATGTGAGCCTGGGACACTGGGGCTCTGTTGCAGCGGAGCCTCACCTCAAACTCTCCTCCCAGTCCTGAAATCTCTCAGAAAAGCTTGTGGATGGGTGCAAGTGTGCAAATGCATAGACACGAGTGAAGGTGAGTGACGAGCGGACTGCCAGGCTGCTGAAAAGACACCTCCACAAACAGAGCTTGCTTGAGCAGGGAGAGGCTCCATTATGTCCAGGACAATTGTGTGTTGACTCTTCTTTGTTCAAGAGGTTTACGGACGAAACGTGCAAAAAGGGAAAAAAGTCTCAAAGGTGTGCTATTGTGACTAGTGGCTTGTTCAGGCTTATTTAGTTTTCTCAAGATTGGATATCATTTTAGGAACAAAATTAGTTCAGAAACTGGTTTGAACCAAAACTGGATTTATTTAAATTGTAGAATGTATGCCATAAAAAAACTATATTTAATTGCATGTTAAGTTAAAGTCTTATTGTTTTCCTGAGAACATTTAACATGCCATGGAAGCCATATTCATAGATTACCATCAACGCTAAGTTAATCATGATAATTGAAAATCAGTTAACTAAAAAAGTTTTTTGCCTTGTGTGTGACACATGGTTTACAACATAAAAAGTTTGAGGAAAATCAACAACACTTCAGAGCGCAGACAAGGTGTTGTACAATCATATCTCATGTCACAATCTCTCTAATGTAATGCCACTTTAGACACATTTGATCAAATTTAAAGCATTTAAGGCATTACATTTGGGTACATCAAATTCAATGCTGTTTAAACACTATGGGAACACTGTGATAGAGAACTATTGTGATTGCTATTATTGCTATTATTATCCTTTTAGCAATAATATTATCTTCTTATTGCTATTTTAAAGTGCAAAATTCACACAATCTAATTTGTGTGTGAATTCTTCTCAAAAAACAGTCTAAACAAGCCTTGGCTACACTGTGGAATTGATGAAGACACATTACAGTGGCTAACCCCTGTCTCACATAGTCGCTACCTCTCACACACAAGAGGCATTTGGCCCTTCGGTGATGATGATGATGTCCTAACAGAGTTATCTGAGTGCTGATGAGGCAGACAGGACCTGGTGTCAAACAGTGTCTTCCACCCAATTAGATCTGGCATCAGTCTGTCACTGCAGACAGGAACAATGTGCTGATAATCTCATCAATGCGTAAAACAAATAACGTATTGACTGACTTTAGTAGAGTCTGCTTCTCTTAAACAGAGCCTTCTTCCTCTCAGTGGATTATAGGGGAATGTCATTGCAGAGCAGGCTTTAAATCAGTTATGTCTGGCCCTTAGGGAAACTGTGGGCTGATTGAATGTAGGCCTGTCTCTTGTTGCTCATGACACGATTGCCACATCCAAATTCTAAAGTCAGGCCTCAAATCATTTATATTAATTTCTACATTAACACACAAAGAATAAATCACTACGCATGTTCTCTGTAAGACTAGAATAGTGCATGAGCGAAATGTTAAAAATGTCGCCTCGTGCAGACACACTGCTGTAAGCGTAAAGACAAACATATTTATGTTCACCTCAAGCTATGGAAATGAGCTCTGCACCCGGAGGTGGAAGCTACACATTCTGTTGCTTTCTTTTCAATCACACAATTTGTTTGAGAGCCAGAGTGTCAATAAACAGACTGACATACTACAGACTTAGCCCCTATAAAGCCTTTCCACCATGACACTCTATGTCTGGACACTAAACAAGATTAACCAAATATGTAAATTTTTTTCAGTGTAAAAAGTGAGTCAGCTGAGTTATTACTGGCATATATCACTTGCATTTTTGTAATAACTTAATGGTTCTCTAAGGTTTTCTTTTAGCAATTGGATATTCAAATACTTAAAGTGAGATATGATGACGCATTAGTTTGTATACACCTCACATATACAACATGTTCTCAGCTAGATACACGTGTAAACCAGACAACCTACCAGGGCATAAAAGCCAAACAGTCCATCAATCAAAGCTATTACTGACACTAAGCTGAGAGCACAGTGCAATATGCAGCGGACCTTAAGACATGTCCTAAGTATGCCAGCTATTGTCCGCCTGCTTGTTTGCTGCCACGGTGCTGATTGACGCAGGCAGTCCACCGTGTCCCATTGACCTCATTATTTTTTTCTTAAATATGGGGATTAACTTGCTCAAATGTTAAACCCTTTGCATTGATTTTTCTGCTACTTTGCCTCAAGCTACATTGTCCGTTGTTTCAATTTTAAACTTAACTTTCCCCAAGACAATAAGGAAGCATAAGAGGCTTTCCCATTCAATAGCATAATACGGGCAAAACAATGCAGTACCAGATAATGCGCTGCCAAGAGCCTTTTTAAATAAAAAACTACTGGATGTAGCAAAATAAACAGCTACATGTCGGAGGACTATAGAGGCGCGTAAGCCTTCTGCTGCATTGTCTTTTGCCCTCAAAATCATTTCAGCCAACAATCATCAGAAATGTGCAATTGTAAAAGATAAGGAGACATGATGAAACTCGTGACGTCAAGGGCAAGGATATGTTAAAAATACATTATTTTACAACGTCATTTTATATTCCAGTTCAACTTGAGCTCCAACAACCCCCAAAAATTAATATAATTCTGTTACCACTTCATTTTCTCTCCTACAATATTTCTCTATACAGTGTGTTTTGTTGCATTAGTCAACACAATGCTAATGCGGTATAGATACTATCGTTACATAACAGTTTGATTGATCACAATATTTAGCAACATTGCTCCACATCACATACCTATTACAACACCTAGCGTGAGTAGAGCAGCCATTTAGTTAATGAGACCCAATGGAGACCTCCAATGAAGCCATCAAGACTGCTCAGAATAACAATAGCCAACTAACGCCTTTCTAATTGAATGGAAGGTAGAGAGGAGTGGGTCCGGGCTGTGAAAGAAAAGCAGAGAGGTGGGGAGGGGGTCTTTTCAGTGGGATGCTCGCCAGGCCCTAACGAAAGTCCTTGTTTTGGGGGGATGTGACACAGATTGGGGGATGGACTAACTCCGGGTAACACAGCTCTCCTGCAGGGATTATTTTAAGGAAGTTTACTCAGGCCCATTTAAGGACTGTAGACTTTTGGGGCATAATAATCAAGTTTGCTTCACTTACAATGTAAAACTGTAAACTCTACAAGACATGATATTTGAGATGAACTTGATAATTGGGGATGTTTTTTGCACAAGACACTAATTTTATACAAAGTCACACAATATAGTCATGATTTGAAGATGCATTGATCCTCACCAGTGTTACATTACAAACAGCTGTACTGGACAAAGCCTCCCTTGTATTGTCAAAGGTATTACAAGCTCTTATTATAGGATGAACAAACACAAATGTTATAACTATACTATTGGTATTTGTTCACAGAGACATTTATCAACAGATCTTTGCTAGGTGTTAAAAAAACCCTATGGCTTGACTTTAAACGCCTTGAGCAAAAGAGTGACATAAGTCATAAATAATCCCAAGTGAAAAAAGTGAACGTGTGTGAACTTTCAGACAAAGGAGAAGTTGTCAAATGCGGGTCCCGTGTTATGTGGGTGGTAGAAAGAAATGTATATCCTCCAAAAAGAACAAAGAAGTAGTTAGTAGTCGTTGAGAGGCCACTTGGAGGGAATGGGGCTGTCTCACTAGGTGCTCTAGGAACTTTTACGCACGGGCCAAACATGGTTAAAAGGAGAAAAAAAGGACTGTGTGGAGGAAGAATAAGGAATGTTCTGAGGTATAGGCACTTACTGTTCGAGCGCTGGGAGAGAGGGAGCCATTGGATAGGTATGGATTGGTGAGGTCTGGTATCATGAGGAATGGGTAGCCTGGGTAGTGGTGTGGACTCTTGAAAAAGCCACCATCTTGTTGCCGTCTTAGTGCTGCACGCATGAAACACACAAAAAGTCAAAACATGCCAACACAAAAGTACGCGCCGGGGAGAGAAAGTTTAGTTTACCTTCACTGAAGTAGTCCCTCGTCCTTTCGTACGCGTCGATGTCGGGTCTCGTACGCGGACGCCTCTCTGCCTGCTAACGACACCGACACAAAAGTAAGGGGATAAAGTTTTGCAAAACGCGTGCGGCATTGAAAACAAGTCAACAACTTTGCACGTGTTGCGCCCTACCTCAGAGTCCGATGAGCTGCTGTTGTTTTCCGATTCGTTTACGAGGGAGGATTTCACGTCGTCCAAGTCCCTTTCCGCGGAAACGTCCTCTGAAATCTTTTCCTCTTGCTCTCCTTCATCTTTGAAAGAAATCATCTCATCGTTCGCCCCCAAATCATCCCCACCGCCTCCGTTTAGCTGCGGCATTCTGCTGGATAAGTTTTGCGTAAAGGTGGCGTGGAAACGTGCTTTAAGTCGCCTATGTAACAGAGTAGTCCAGTGGAGTCGATGGAGAAAAGTTGCTACAAGAAGCTCGACATGCTTCTCAGAACTCCGTATTCATCCCCTGTAGATGACTGCGAGTCCCATGGCGAGTTGTCTGAAAGTACAATCCACAAGAAAAGTTGCGAACGCTGGGAGTTGGATGTATGGAGGAGACGCGATGACCGGATGAGTAAAAAAAGGGTCTTGGCAAAAAAAAAAAAAAGTTTCGCTGTGTCCTCCCGCTGCTACTTGTGGACAACTTGTGGCCACTACGAGCGCCTGTCTCTCCTCGCTCAAGAATCTCCAAAATAGTAAACCATCAGACAACATGAGCTACCACAGTCCATAACATAACGAGTGGCTATAGGCAAAAAGCAAGCGATACATCCAATTTCATGTCCTTAAATCCATGTGCGCGCGAACGAGGGACGCACAGAAGTTTGTATGTATGAACAAAAGCGAACTGAACAAACAAAAAAATACTAAAAATAACGCGAATGCTCAGCTGAGAGTCGTTGTGACCCTTTCCCTCCACATTGCTGCCGGGAATGCGCCCAGAAAACTACTTGGGTTGTTGGAGGAGCAGAAAGCGCACGGCCCGTCCGCAGAGGAGGAGTTAAGCGCTGAAAACCGACCCTTGAGCGCCACCAATGAGGCTATTCTTACCCGTGTATACAGTGTGCAACCCCGGGATCGCACCGCCCGCCGAGAGAGACTGGCCCGCTGCGTGAGGCACGGACTGCAGGGCACACGTATGGAAATGGAACAGAAGGAATAAAAGGAGCAATTAGTGATTATAATCATGGCTATACAGGCCGAGGTGAGCCAACTGTTCGCCAATAATAATAATAATAATAATCACAATAATATTCATGTTTATTGAATGTTCCTATACTATCTGAGCCCACTGTGTGAGATCTAACATCATTACACTAAACTGATCAATATATTGATCATAGACACACAGATATTAAAGGCATTACCAAAAATGTACAATAACATTTACATATTTTATACAAGCAAAATCCTCAACTTAAGATATGAATAACTTCTATGGAATATGTAGACTTTGTGTTATTATTGTTTATTCACTTTAAACAAGGAACGTCCCACTGAGACTAAACTCTTTACTATGCAGTCCTGGCCTCTATAGGTTGTATGATATAGCTATCACAACTATATTTTTCATACTTTTATCTTTGTAGCTTGAATGTATAATGTGAATATTTTAGACTTTTCTTGCATTCCTTAACGTATTTCTCCAACATCTTCACATACTGGCAAATTATAGCTTATGCTGCACAGTGTTGTTTTAAGCAGCTAGACAGCTGTGCCCATAAAACCCCTTTCTATAGGCAACGTCACAAGTGTAAAATTATGAATTGCCACTATAAGTAGTGGGACGTCTGTCCATTTGATTTATAGAAAAACCACAGAAGCCACACTGCCTACCGATGTGTTAAAATGGCAGCCTGGTTTTACTGGGAATATTTTAATTATATGTTATAGCAGCTAAATGATACGTCTGCAACAATAGTTTTAGAAAGACAAAGCAAGGCTACACCTGGGATAAGCTCTGTGCATTTTACACACCTCCTTGCAGCGAATGTAGACCCGTGACACATTACTCTCAAAGACACTGTTATTACTGTTGACTTGAGGGACATGATTGAAAGCAGCGTTTTGCAATATATGAGCTGGAATAACAACAGGAAGTGTGTCAGTTTGTTCTTCTGCAGCATTTGCAGCTCTGGTGTGTGCTCTGGAATGTTGGAGTAGCCATCGCAAACCTTCAATACAATTATTATCTTATTTTTATATGGACAGGCGGTTGCAGTCGATCTTTGTCGGCGGCAGTTCCAAGGGATAGGATGAATATAGCACAAACATTAAAAATGGCAAAATACCCACCTCAGAATGTGTGTATTTGGAGAAGGTAAAACGAGAAAAAAGATAAACATTAGTTGTTGTTTTTATTGGCAGTAAATATGTGAACTCAGCAATAAAGTTATAGACTGAGATAATGCAAGATCTGTTTTTGTTTTTTTAACCTCTGATGCAATTTGACAGGCTTCCCCTGTTTGAGCAAAAGTCCTTGATGTGTTGGAGTGCATGTCAGCAGGCTGAGGCTGACTGACAATCCTGCAGTGTCTCTGTGGGCCTCATTAGATCCTTACTCCTGGGTGTGTGAGTGTGTTTGTATGCAGTTAAATGTAACACACTTACAGTGCATCCCTGTGCATGGTCCGCACTTTTGGACAGTAGGCCTCTGTTCACGATTGCATGCGTGCTCATACTGGGGAAGATTTGCCCTCCAGGCTGCACATCATTGTTATCTTAACTGGAGTATGCAGACAATGTCAACAACGTATCATTTCCAATTTTTTTCTTAAATGCGTTCAAATTGACAATGCTTACCCCGGCGCATTCCGATTCTTTTAAAGTGACAGACTATATGTTTGTGCAGTGCGATAATAGATAATTGATTTACATTAATCCATGTACAAGTTCTGCTTCACAATGTACAACAAATATAATGACATAATAAAGAAAAAGCATAATGAGCATCTGTCTCCTAAACAGACAGGTCTCACACAGACTTCACTTTCAGCAGTGTGCTATCAGGCACCACTGGCATGTTGTGAGCCCAGTGTTGTTCACACCACTGTGAGAAATCACACTTATGCCACGAATTAAAGCATATCATACAACACTACGCTATTTTCAAATTCTATTCATTTTTCTGTCTGTTGACTGTAAGCTGCCAGGTTCAGAGGATTGGCAGGTTCCTGATGCAAGAGGAGCTGTAACAAGTTCATCAATTAATCGCAACTAATCGATTGTGTAAACAGTTTTCAACTAATTCTAGTAATCAATTATTATTTCATCACAGAGATTTAAGCATTCTGTGAAGACATTTTGTGACTCCCAACAGAATTACTGCACATGAAGCAAAAAGTAAGATAAAGAGATCTTTTCTTTGTCCCACAGTGGGGAAATTTCAGTGTTGCAACACAAGTTATAGAACTGTGGAAATGAGGAGCACATAACCCAAGATAAGGGAATGTTAAGTATAGCACAACTCTGTACTTGAAAAATAAAATTAAATCTGTATATCTATCTTAAGAATTCTAAAAGTGTAAACCTATACAAATATAGAAATATATACACGTTTGTTTAAGTGATAAAGTCAAATTAACAATGAATATTTGGTTTGAGAGCCAAGAATAATGTATACATATATCTGTAATGTACTCAACTGCAAGAATATTCAAGCAGTAAATCCTTAGTGTTGACATGATTATTAAACAATATACAATGTTTTTGTCGAGAATTCTATATTTACAAGCCTTTTGTGATCCAAACAACCAACCTATGAATAACCAGCTAAAAATCAATTCTTAAAATCAATGTCAGTTACAGCCCTGCCATGCTACGTCAACCACAATGTCAATTTGATGTGACACAAAAGGTAATGCATAAATATAAACATATAATTACAATTACCAAATTAATGTGTGTAGTTTAGTATGGGTATTAAAAAAATCACATATAAATTACCACGGCATTTCATACACTATTGTGTTATTCACCGTAGGTTTCCTTGGGCACACAATTATGAAAAACATAAATGCAAGTCATTTTTAACCTTTTTAAATGAACAATAACTAAATCTGTAAATTCCTCCCTGACTGTGGATATGAGAAATAGAATCTTCCACTTATTTCAGTCAAAACTGAGGCATTCTGACATTAACAAGTCCAAATATGCTCCACCAGCAGAATTCTACATTCTCCCTTTCCACTTCTGCACCTTGTTAGAGCAGCACTGACTTTATCCGGGAGTTGATGGCGGGTCAGACTCCGGAGAGATGCGAACAGCCACAATCTTAGCCCCGGGGCAGATCGACTGGTGGCCAGAAAATGTATTCACACAGAGCTGTCCCTGCATCTGCCTGGCTTTGAAGTTGCTCTCTCTCAGCGCGGCTCGCCCTACGTGACCGTGTGTTCATTTCTCTGCACACTAAAGAGGAGCTTCTGAATTGGACATGAGCCTCACGCACACACACACACACACACACATACACAGATGCACACACGCACACATGCATGTAAGTGTAGTTTTGTGCTGATAAGTGTCAGAATCAGGATGAGGGAGAAGGGGATGGATGGGATCATGGGGATACTTGCATTCGCCAATCTATACTTTCAAGGTCATTCTTTCATGTTTCCCACACACTGGTCAATCCACTCCAATCAAAGTGTTCCTAATTCAGCACTAATTCCTTCTTCTTTACTCATTTAAAGCCTGTATTCTGGCTCACCACCACCCGATCTGTTAGTCAAATGGTTCCTTTTATGTCAAGTTTTCACAAAAAGTTACTGTGGATAACGCTGGTTACAGAACTTTCAACATTGGAAATAAACTATGCTTAGTTCAACACTTTTGACAATTGACAATGTGAGAAAATGCATTAGTGATGTGTAGATGCATTTCAATAAAAAAAAAATCTTGTATAGCCTAAATCACAACAGTAGTTATCTTGAAGGACTGTGTCGCCCAACACAGATCAGAGAATCAACAGTTCAACACAACAAATACAACAATAAAAATAAAAATAAAAAGGGCCAGATACAACAAGGTAACAATACGCTGTGGCAATTGAGACAGTGGATTTCAAGTTTCAGTGTTTGGTGTGACAGTGGAACTAAATTAAGTCCTAGTTTTGGCCGTAGTTTTGTGCATTTTGTATCACTCCACTGTCTGTATCATCTCTGTAGTAGATCGGCTCACTGCTCGGTCGTCACACTCTGACGGGAGTGTCCCATGCAATCGTGGATCTCACCAAAATAAGCTCATATCCGCTTTAATCCAGAAAGGTCCTGTTTCCAGGCTGGTATGGGCGTATGAGGCATTTAACACTGTAAGGATATGATTAGATG